ACAAATCCTTGATTCACCGAGAGAGCCTCGAAGGTTTTAGGCTGGTGTCCAGTCGTCCGGATCACCGCGAATGGAGACTGACTGTCGAGCAACTTCTGTACCGGTTCCAATAACACTGGACCATAATTGCCTTTCGGAGATACAGTTGGGAGAGACATATTTGGCAACGGCAAATACTGTAATTTCAAAGAGCACGTGAATCGACTTATAAAATAGATATTTGTTATGCGTTTTCCGGTAACTAATAAAAAGTAATTTTTTAAATGAAATTTGTAATAACAAACAAAGAATGTGATAATGTATTATCACAAAGAAAATCACGTACGAGACCGATAACGTCCCTTATAGCAAAGTATTTATCTGTCGGATCTCCGGCTTCGGTCAAAGGAGCATCGTAATCGTACGAAGTCAATTGTGGACTGTACACGTTTACCCCACCATTAGCTCCTGTGATGGAATAATAATCGTTGAGTAAAGTACATTTGCTGATATAATTTCATCATATGCACCGATAAAATGTTATTTTTATCAGAATTGTATTTGCTGCAATTCATGAAATTAATAAAAAGTTTACTAACCAGAAGTGAAACCGAAGTTTGTACCTCCATAAAACATGTAAAAGTTAACCGAAGCACCTACAGCAAGCATTTCCGTCAACGTTTTTGTAACAGCTTTTGTTTTTACTCTTTGGAAGATATCTCCCCAATGCGTTAACCAACCTGGATAGAATTCAGAATTCACCAACGGGCCCTACGCATCAATTTTCAAATTTGATCAAACATTTTAATTTTAATTAATTAATTAGTGATTTCTTAAACAATATCGCTTACTCTTGGCTGATAAAGGCGCATAATCTGAAAGCTATTAGTCACATTGCTGGCCGTTCCAAAATCGACGGTGGCATATGCACCAGGTACGAATCCGCATCGAAGTAAAGACGCGGAGTTACCGTCGGTTGTATACAGAAGAGCCTTATTGCCGATTTTTCTGACAAAAACTTCTTTTAACATGTCCGTGTACTCCGTGTCGCAAGCATTGTAACTTCCGTATTCGTTTTCTATCTATTATTGTGATTGAATTTAGGGCAACAGTATTAAAATAATAGTAATAAAGTTGGTAATTGACACGTGAAGATAAACATATTAAAAAGCATATCTGTGATAATTTTTTTCAACTTCTTCAAATCTGCTTTAATAATTGTCAACTGTATTGTTGTTTATCGATTGTTATTGACTTGTTCTTGTCTTGTCATTGATGTTATCAGCTCAGAGTGATATAACATCAATGACAAGGTAACATCATAAAGCGATAATGTCTGAAGCGATATTAATTGTTACTTATCTTGATAACGCAATAAATATTTTAAGAGATAAACATAATGTTACATAAGTTACATAATCATAACATTTCTTAATAATCTCGTAAATAGGTGTTACCTGAACCATAATTACTGGTCCCCCATTACCCCTTAAAAGTGGTTCTACTTTATCCAGCACTTGATTTAGATACAATGTAGCATATCTCACGAAATCTGTAGAAACAGATAAATTTTTAAATAATAAAATTGGATTCTACAATTGACTGTAGTAATATCATTTTATCAATATATTTTAATATATTTTGCATCATTAATATATCAATTTAAAATATGAAAAATGGTAAAAGAGGAAGAATTAATTATTATGGAAAATAAAATGATTATTACAAAATAAATCAGTTTTACTTCGCCAGTCAAATAATAAACAACAATGGAAATAATAATCGACTCTATACTGGCCATTATAATCGCCAAGATGATACGACCACCATCACCACGATTTGGTTCGATTTATCGTCAAGACGTTCTTTTAAATAATATAAATTGATGTAATCTTTGATACTTGTATATAAGCATCTCATTTAAATAATTAAAAAAAAGATTCTTATCTCTTATCATAAAAGTAGCGAAATGTAATCGGTTGACATCTCAATTTTATATCGAGCAATTTGTGCGGAAATAAAATACATTTGATTTAACAAATATCATATATTATAAAACGGCATATATTATACCCGAAATCATAATAAGAGCAATAATATGTAAATTTTCTATTTCTTCACACATTTATTGCCACATAAAAAAATCGCAAACGTTTTTCAAAGGCCGAAGAATGTTTTTATATAATAATCCAGTGAAACGAATTATAGCTTACCTGCATCTTTTGTGCGTAACTTTATATTCGGTACTTCACGAAGCAACCAATACGGTAAACCACCCTAAAGGTATGTCAGGATTATTAAGATAATAGAATATTTTTTGAATTTTACTATATATAATTAAAAAAAAAAGTAAAGAGACAAATTTTTAAGTTTTGCCTCAGATATGAAAGAACAGATGACAAAAGACAACTAGTTACGCCAGTAATTTTATACTAAGCAATTAATGTATATATTTATTTACCAAGTCTCTTTCCGCGCAAATATAAGGACCCGGTCGCAATAACACGAGCAAATCTTCCTCTTGTGCAATATTTAAGAAATTTACTAGATCTGCGTCGCCGGCCCAATTAAATTGACCTGGTTCTGGTTCGTGAAGACTCCATTCAACATAACTGTTTATCGCGAGAGAACAGAGACAAATTTAATTATTCGTTGATTATTTCGCGACATTATTTTAAATTTCATAAACAGTTAAAAGATCTATTACGTATTAATATCGATGTACTTAACTTCCTGACACAACAATGTAAATACTATCTTGTATTATCATATAAATTACAAAACGTGTAAATTACAAAAATACGAGATTTAACTTACGTGGAGACAGCGTTAAGTCCCGCGGCTCGCATTTTCCTTAAACGATCTCTCCAGTATTGTCTAGGCGCTCGAAAATAATGAAAACTACCGGAAACATATCGGAAGGGTTTTCCATCCAATAAAAACTGATTGTTTTCGTAATCGACTTCGAAACCGTATCGCCATTCCGTATCCTGCAATCATTTGTTCTAAATTCTTGCTAACAATAAGTAGAATAATTTTATAAAAAGCGATGCAATATTAATAGTTAATATTCTAGAATATCTCTAGTCCAACCATTTTTACACAATATTCTACTATATTTGTATTATATACTTCAGAGACATTTTGGGCTTATTTTTATACATTTTTTATTTCACGATTCAATTAATGTCATGCACTTTTATAATTTATGTAGAATAACATGTGGCATTCAAGTTACTGATGCAGTCCTTTGTGTCATAAATGTATATCATTTTCGTTATGTTTTTTCGAGCTGGCTTTAGCGGATTTGTAATTGAAAGGTCATCATCTGAGGTCGGTTATTGTACGGCCAGTTGATTATCAGTCTCTTTCTTCATCTTCTAACTTTGACCAGACGGTATCATTATCCCGACTCCGATAGGTTAATCGTAGAGATAAAGACGTTCTCACAGAAACATGTAAGTAACGCAACAGACATTCTGTAATATTTTTCTATCGCTTTTCGCAATGAGAACACGAATAAATACATAGATGTATGTACGTAATTTCATATATAAATCTTCTTTTGTTTATCAAAACATACCATTTTGTGTGTAATTTAAATACATGTTTAAACCTCATTAAAAAATTTAATCAAACAATCCTTTTAGTTAAAAAGGTCATGAAAAGATCATAAAGGTTTAGTACGCTTTAAATACAAATACACGTTCATTTATATGTCTATGTAAAAAATGAATTTAAATTCAAGTAACATTTCAGTTCCATTCAATCAGCGATGACTATATCTGTAATACGAGGTCGAGGACAATTGTCAATCGGTCAGAATCAATCTTTATGACTTGCATTCAAATTTTATGATTTATACGCGAACATACTTCATGTACGAATTGTGCATGAACCAATGTTGTATTTTATTTTATTAAATCAAATGTGGTATTCTATTCAATACATTATTTTTACTTTCTAAACGGTATCGACAATTTTAAGAATTCCGATTGACATTTTGTTCTTAATTTAAAAAAGTAACCTGGGATAAAAAAGCAACCTGCAAAATCCTATTTATCTTTCAAAAAAGTTAGAGAATTTCTCTATTTCAAAACTCTTTCTCTTTTTCTAAAACTGTTGCCACCGTTATTTCCGGTTAAGCAATCAGTATCAACTGACAGACTATATTTATCTGCTTTCTTGCTACAGTTTTATCCGCTTTTGGCACATCTGTACATTTATGTGCCGTATATTTATATACAAACAAATTTAGATGAAGTTATTTGATTATTATTTTAATTAGTTAATATCGTTGCCCCAATGTTTTTAATTTCAGGAAATTAAAATGTAATGCAAATAGATGTTTTTATTTGTTAATAAGACAATATGTGGAAACCTTCAATATATAAGAATTCTTTTAAACATTGATCTATACACGGAGAAAATTTTATAGTAAATATTACTATGGTGTCGCACTAGCTGCGGACCATCGAGGAACTTCAAGGTAAAATACTATAATTATTGTTTTAAAAACGATTAAATAACGTAATTTTTACCATAAACATAGTAATTTAACTTAAAATTCCTCGATGGTCCGCAGCTAGTGCGACACCATAGTAATATTTACTATAAAATTTTCTCCGTGTAGATTAATTAAAAATTTTAATTAAATAGAAAATGAAGGAAAATCTATTATATATTTCAGAGGAAACGAATAGTAGCGTACCGCAAAATTGTAGATTTGTATATATATATATGTATATATTGAACATATAAAATATAAAAAAATTATACAATAGATAGCATTCAACATACGTTACTCGGTAAGTTAACTGTCTTCGATATAGCGCTACCGAATGCCAAAGTTGTCACAAGCAGAGTCGTCAATGACCACATTTTTGAATAAATCTTTTTGTCGTAGGTACTTCAGTTGCACTCTTCTATGCGGCTGTTAATGCACTATCCACGCTCGCGCGTCACTGATGATTTGACGGATTTGACGGCGTGCCTAAGATACGTCAGACAATTGACGTTTAAAGTTTATCATCGGAGAGATACACGTTCTTCGGTCACACTATTACTCAAGTATCGGTTCGATATCGTGCAAGTATGCATGCGTATACTTTCGAATTCGAAAAACGTCACCAAAACATTGTACTGAATTTTTAAGCAACGCACTTATTTCACACACAAATTTCAACTGAAAGTTTCTTGTACGGTAATATCCTTAAGATATATACTTGGCGATTATTTTGCAATAAAGTAGAAACTTCCTGAGCAGCACAAATAAGTTGACCAGCGGTTGGCCGCTGTAGAATCTATAGTGGCCAACCTAACCGTTGGCGAACTTGTTTGTGCTGCTCGGGTTCTTTTGTATATCTCGACATATTTAAACTTATCGTGTACAATTTACATGTATAACTTACATGTATGATTCTATTAAAAACAATCTAGATGATCGTTTAAAATATCTGTCACACTTTTATTCACAAAAAATCAGTGCTTCAAGAAATGTTATTATCTTTTAGGTTCTTAGGCCAAATTTCACCAACGTCGGTTTCGGTTAACTATAACCAGTGTATAACTTACTTCGGTTAAACTCACTCTTCGTTTTTTTTCTAAAGGGGCAGTTAGAAAGAGATGAAGAGTGAGTTTAACCGAAGGTTACAGTTAATCGACGTTGGTGAAATTGGCCCTTAACCGCTTATCTTACTTACAATAACGAGTGACACAGATTACATACCAAAACTGAAAAACACGAGTGTGACTAGTGACGTAGGTTACGGGAGTGTGAAGTGTGACTCGCGGTTGCTATGAGCGCTACATTCAACTGTCGCGCATTTATATGTTATAATAAACGGTTATGTTAAAATATACTATAATAACTTTTTCAATTCAAATTTGTGCTAAAAAATATTTTAATTTATTTTTTTCAAGTTTCTATATGACATTACTATTCCATTTTTTTTTTAAACTATATATTGAAAATTCTATCAAATGACATAGACAGAACGGAAGACGCTCTAGCGAGCGTTAACGTGCATTATCCATTATCCCAACATAGAAATAAAAAATTAAATAGGTGAGCGCAGTGATGTGAAAAATCGTTTAAAAAGGCAAGAGGTTAAATTTTCATCTCTAATAACTTTTTCAATTAGATACTAATATTTTGAAAGATATATCCACATTTATAGATTAAATCCTATACACATACGTTTTACTTATACAAATATAATCAAAGTTTAATATATGTGATTGATATATAGAAATATAAGGTTTAAAAAAGGACACGCATAAAATAATTAAAACAGTTTTCTTGATATTAAATTTAGCGATTTATATTTTATATATTAATTAACTTGCAAGAAATTACGCGCGTTTTATAGAACTTAATTATCTCTTAAAACATTTACAAATGTTTCAAAAAAGCATAAAATTTTTTAAAACCTTATAGGCTTCAGCTTAAAAAAAAAATAAACATATTGAATGTATATATTAAACATATTGAATGTACTATATTAAACACAGTCGTGTTTATCGTTTAAAGATAAATTGCGCGGAATGAAGAAATACATTTTTGCGCCGCTATACGTCGCACATGTTGAATCGGAGATTTAACTCTAACTCAAATTTGTTATCATGTGCGATAACAAATTATTATCTGTTTTTACTTCAGTTGATGCAAAAACTTTAATATTAATTTAATATTTAAAATTTTAGTGAAAATGATTTATTATATCCCAAATATAATTATTCATGCATATATTAAATTTATATATTATAATATATATTGGATTTATATAAATAGATAAAGGATACAATTTTATGATATGTTTTATTAATTTATTAATACAAATTTATTTTGTATTAAAAGCGTACGTGATCCAATAATACTCCTACAGTCACACTTAATTAAATAAGTCCTGAATTAGATTCATCCCAGATTCGGTACGGCTTG